GGCCCGCCCGCCGCGCCGGGCCTCCCTCCTGCAACACACGGGAAAGGCGGCGTTAGCCCTGCCCGCGCGGCCCGGGAACGCGGCGCAGCGGCCGCCAAACTCTTTGCTGMCCAGAGCACAGCGCGCTCATCACCGTTTACACGGTAGGAAGGCAGGCACCCGAGGTCTAGAAAGATCCTTTCCAACTGCATTAATAACCCAGCCTTCCACGGCCACCACGGGAACTGAGCGCGCGTGCACACACACACACACACACAAAAACACACACACACACAGACACACACACACACACACAGACACAAAAACACACAGACACAAAAACACACACACACACAAAAACACACACACAGACACACACACACAGACACACACACACAGACACACACACACAGACACACACACACACAGACACAATCCCCAAATAAACTAAGGCTGTGACAAAATTACTTCTGTTCCAAACCCTGGCTCTCCGTGTCTGTCTTTTCCTTCCGTGCAGACGCTCCCTCACCTGGCAGGTCTCTCTGGCCGGCGGGCCGGAGGACGGGGAAGCCGCCAGCGAAGAGGCCCCCCAGGGGCTGCGCAGAGGCCCCTTTGTTGGCGGCCGCGGTTCCTCCATCTCTCGTAGCCCCCTTGGGTTCTGTCATAAAAAGAGAAGCCATCTCAGAAAGCCATTTCATCCTTGCTCTCAGACTGCTATATCAGCCTATAGAGCATCAAGAAGCGCAGTCAAGACTTGACTTTTTCCTCTTCACACTGTCTCAGCAAGGAAGTTGAAGTGTTGCTACAACAAACTGTGTTTCTCTGACCAGTGCCTGGGAGCGCAGCACCCTCTGGTGCTTTCTCATCCTCGTGTCAGTGATAGGACCAGCAAGAAGGGACGGGCTGCATTTGAAGGGCTGCATTTGAAGATGGGCAACTTGCAGGTGCTTATGCAATTCCAAAAAGCCCCTATTTTTGTTAAGGAATCTCCCTCACTGAAGGATWTAGTTGATGAAACTTGTCATGATCCTTCTAGCTCCACTATTTTGTCACTAGGTCAGCTTACCTAAGCTCTCTTCATTTGTGGTTTGTGGATCAAAAGCATATTAACATATTAGCATCACTTCTTCCCTCTCTACTCATTACCCCCAAGATATTTCCTTTAGCAAGGTGTCTGCAAAAGAGTTTGGGTGAGAACAAAAACACTTAGAAAAGAAAAAGACTCCAACAACATCTATAATTTGTTAAAAGTTATTTTTCTCATGAATTTTAAATGAGCAATTTGATAAAACATACATTCCTAACAGAGAGACTTATGTTGACATAAATACTCTTGTTTTAAAGGAATTAAACTCTAGAATTTGGCATCTTTTATTCTTTGTGTCTAGGGAAGAACAACTCTTTTACTGGAGCCAACTATTCTCCGCTGAAGCCTTTATTTCATTATGGAATTCTCATCAGTTTCATTGTTCATGGACTTTTTTGAACAAGGAATGCTGRTTAAGGTGATATCCCATTATGAACTGATGTCCAGTTTGATGTCCCAAACTGAAMAGTTTTTTATCTTGCAGTGCAATGTAAGATTAGAAAATGAAACTCTCGCTCTGTACTTGCTAAAGTAATGTGAAGAYGCCGACCTTGGATGTACTTTGAGCCTGCTCTTCGTGTAGAAGATTGTCCATCTGACTTCCAGAACTGAGACTGCAGCAAAGCTCACCCAGAGACCCTTCCCAGAGCTACGCACTTACTTTCAATCTGTGGTGCACTTCGGTCGTTGATCTGAGTCACCTTCCTTAAGCGAGTCCCTTGCTGGATATCGGCTAGCAGAGCATTTCGTGCTTTTTGGTCTTCCTTTCGCAATTTTGGTAGCTCCGAACTTGTCTGTTGAAGATAAGAGCATTAGACAGCAGGCACCGACAAAAATAAATGCTGAGAGGGGACCCATGAGTGAACTTGGGAAAATTTGAAATAAACCATCCCTGGCAGCTGTCATTTTAAAACCTTTAGATGCAGTCAAGAGGAATGGCTTCAGTTCCTGAGAGGCAGGAAACCCRAAAAATAAAAAACACCACCACCAAAAAACCCCAATGTACTGCTAGTTGTGTCTTTAAAATCTTTAAAAGAAGCTTGGAGCCATGCTTAAATGCTATCTGACCTACGCTTGGCCAGCTACRCTTTTTGAGCAAGTAGGTCTCTCCCTCCCGAGCTCTGCTTGCCTATTTCTGTAGTCCTTTCCATTCTATTTATAGTGCTTTATGACAAAGATTTTATATGCTACCTTAGAACAAAAATCTTTGCTTTACCTATTTGCCCTTATCAAATAAAACCTTCCTAAAGGCATATTGCATTTGTATTTGAATGTTTACATAATTCAGACTGTCTCACTGTGTACAAGAATTACCCTATTTTAAGTAGACTCTTTTACAGCATTGCTCAAATAATTATTTAGTTGCTCAATAATTATTTAAATGCTCAATAATTATTGCTCAAAATATGTAACAGCTTTCCTAGCCTAGCTAAGGTCCATAAATGGAAAGGCAGGTTTAAAGATCCGTAGGAAAAGAAAATATATGTTTATTCTTTAGTAATCTCTTATTTTATTGGGTTCCTTATTATTAAAATATCAGAAGCACATAAACCCCAGCACAGCTGTTATTTCCAAACCTATCACGTGGCCAACAGAACGACCTGGCAACAGCCAGAGAGTCCTGACATCGGGGCACAGGACGTTGCATGGTTCCCTATCCATGGCAAATGTGTATAGGCCACCTAACTGTCCTAAAAAGAACAAGTGGCAGAAATGTTTCTATAAGCCTTCATTTTCRCATTCTAGCCCTAAGAAAGTAGAACGGTAAGTAGAGCAACGCTATCATACTTCAAAGCAGCCAAACCAGCAAGTCGCTATCAGCCTTCTGAAAGCAAAGCAGAAGCTTGAAAATACTTCCCAGCTGATGAATTAATAAAATGCCTAACCTCCTAATCTTAGAAGAAAAAATACACTGTTCTCATATGGCTTGGGGTTATTTTTGTACTAGGTTAAAACCAAGTRAAAAAACCCACCAACCAACTGAATAATAAAATAAAATAAAGCCCCAAATGGGTTTGCAGGGACCCACTAGATGGCACTCCAGGTTGCAGCAACGCCAGCTGCATTCCTGRCACCTGATGTAAAAACTGAATTATGATCTTGTGACTGATCCAGTAACCGTGTCATTAAAGAAATCATTAGAAAAAATGACGCTGTTACATAGTTTCCTAACTTCTGAAACAGAGCTCCCTGCCTTGTACTTTACAGAMAACAAATGCGAATTCCCCCTAGGACAGCTCGGAAATGCTGCATGGTTACTAGCAACTTTAGACAAGCCAGAAACTGTTTTCATTCGCATTTCCATTAAGTTCCCAATACTTACTGTGAAAAATGGGAATACCATAATGAGAGCAAGGGTAATTTCCCTTCTCCCGAGAGCCTGTACCAGTATCTAGAGCCTCACGTCTCTATTCCCACGCAGGAGCCGTAGGCAGGGTCTAGAGGTCTGATCATAGGTCTGATCAAGACCTATGTTTAAAATTAGATGTGGCAGCTGTGGTTTTGTGTCTGGGTTCAAGTGTCTGTGTATTATGCCAGCTGTCCACCTCATCTCCCCAGGCTATTTCTCTGAGCAGGTAGGATGTTTGAATATAAAAATTATTAKCATGCARTTAGCTTTTAGACMAAAGCAGACTGTGTGTGGCAGCACRTTTGCAAGTGACCCTTAACTTGATACCAGTTTAACAGGAGGAAGATTTCCTTTTCCAAGATATTTGACATTAAGAGGAAACACTGTGTTCTGCACACCCAGAGCGCAGTGAAATACGATGGCTACAGTCTCAAGATGGATTGATTCCCTTACTGCGAGCAAACCCCAACCAACGACCCGGGTTTTTCTTCTTCCTCTTGGAAGGTAGGTAAGASATACAATCTGCTGTGCCCAGCCCGGTGGACTCAGGTGATTGATCAGCTCTGAGTAGCTTGATACGGATTCTCTGTTTCCATCACCAAGTCAAGCTGCTGTGCGGTGTAATGTTGCTGGTCGCTCCCGAGTCAGAGCTCTGACGGATTTCTYGCTTCCTGCTCGTGCTTCCCAGGCCTGTGACAATTCACACTGGGAATCCTTTCACCAGGTAGGTCTCCCACCAGCTCATCTCTTGATGTCCTGCCTTTGCAAATCCCCCTTTTTACTGTCCTGCTTTGTGATATGCAGTCAGAAAGGAGCTCTCATCCTTCGATTAACCTGCGATTCACACTCGCATTACGCCTCCGAACCGCAGCGCAAGAACAGATAATAACCCAAATTGTGTATCAAGAAATAATTAAAAAGAGGAACTCCCGTGGGAGTTAAGTCTTCAATCCCAATGATATAAAAGAGATGCATTTAAGAAGGAAGACAAAYATATTTTGAGCCACAGTGGGAAAACAGCTGCAAGACAAAGGCGGCGATTGTTGCAGAGCCRCCCTCCCCTCCCATCAATAAGGCAGCAGCATTTCTGAACGGGAGAAGAGGCACCTCAGGCTTTCACCGAAAGCCRAAAGGGAAGCAGAGAAGAATGTGAAGATCATTTGTTTTACCAGATGCCAGAGCTGCCAAAGGTAAYGGCGTGAAATTAAATTCCATACTTTATTCCATACATACCGATTACATGAACTGGAAAGGCAATGAGGGGGTTGCTTTTTCCTAAGTAACCATGACATTATTCTGCTACTATTTCAGACATAAAGCATGGCATACTTAGTGCACACTTTAAACAGAACAGAGCAAACCACACATGCATAGCCTGAACATATGAGAAAGGTTTGCTTTTCCATACCACCTACTGCATCAAATCACAGCATTCAGAGTCATACTCCCCAGTGGCAGCCATCAGGGACCTGGAAATAAGCTCTTCAAAATTTGCAGGTGATAATGAAAACTATAACAGAATAACAGATAATGAAAGATGGGTGTCACTGCAACCTGAGGCTGCTTAAAAAACAAAACTAAACCAACCAAAACACACCACCTCAGTATTGCAGGGGGAAAAATGGAAAAAAAAAAAGAAAAAAATAAAAGAAATRCATACCTAATACACATACCAAATGCTAAGCTAAAAACTCCTGAATGAGAAATTCTGGCTGTACCTCTGACATGAAAGTGCCACAAGCCTCGCTCTATCAGCTGGCTCTAGCAGTGAAGCAGGGATGCAAGACAGCCTGCCCCTCTAGCCCAGTGTGTAGAAGCGCCCTTCTCAGATGTATATTTTCTTTACAGCAGAAAACAAACAAACAGCAAAACTGGAAAAAATATTTCAGTTCTGGTCTTTGTCTCTGAAAAATGACATCCACAAACAGGAGGTGCCCAGGAGAGAGCCCAAGTGAGATTCGGAAATCTGGAGCTCAGATTGGAGGTGCTCAGTCTGCCTAGCTCGCCCTGGTGCAGATGAGGGTTGATCTGACTATACAATATTCAAGCCTCTCTATAGGGGCCTGGTAAGGGCGAATTGGCTGTTAACTGAGCAGAARGACCTTCTGTAAATTAATGCAAATTGCAGCCAGGCAAGTTCCAGTTAGGAAGCAGGTAGATAAGYAAGCAACCAGGGTGAGCATCCCTGGGAGTGAACACAGGCCAGCAGTCAGTTTTCAGGTTTCCCAGTTTTCAGGTGAAGGCTGGATCCTTTCCTAAAGGGATGTTTCCTGCAACACACACAACTCCGCTTACATGATGCATGCAGGCCTAGGCCCCAACTAACTAATCTCAATCTGAATACGCTGAGCTGGGCTATATCCAACAAAAATTCAGAGCCGAGAAGCTCTGTTATAGAAAATGCAGTAAGGTCCATGACAGTGAGCTCTGTTTCTGTGGATGTTAGTGCTGTGATATTTGCATAACCTTGGGAAAGTCCCTGTACATCTTGTAAAATGGATACGAGTGCTCATCCACCCTCTGGTCTGCTGCGATGCTTAAAATATTTAAGAAGGACATGTGCTCAGATTCTAAAGTGATGCAAGTGCAAAAGGCAACATGCATTTGAAAAAGTCCACAGTGATACTAATAATAGGACAGTGCTACTTTATTATCTCTGAGATTTGAACGAGCAGCCCTGTGCACTGAAAATAGGGATTTCTCCATGCTCTGYAGGCAGCGCAGGTCAGAATGGAGGCCGAAATAGTCTCCTAAATGGGACAGGGACCTCTAGGTGTCCCTGCTGGAGCAGGGGGGTTGGACTAGATGATCTCCAGAGGTCCCTTCCAACCTTAACCATTCTGTGATTCTGTGACAGGTATGTCTTCTGCTGATCTACTCTACTTCTAGGTACGTTCTTCATTGAATTTCCAGGATTCAACACAAGGATGAGTATGTCCCTAGTTTAATTTCCTCCTTTACAAGAGGGAATTTGAACCAAAACTATGAGTTAGGAAGGAGAGAGCTGTCTGCTGCTGGCAGTTTCATTTATTTCTGTGAATCTGGTGTCAATCCTCCTTCCTGTCCCCCAGGTTCTTCCCTTAGCAGAAAAAGATGCCAAGATGAAGCACATGCATTGGCAGAACGCACGCATGGGAAACACCTAGTAAGAGAAGGGTTTAATGGCACTCTAGGAAAACTTGCTCCCCCTGCCCTTTTTGGGTGCCATTCTCTGCATACCTGGAGAGATGTGGGTGGACACATTTGTGGACAGGGACTTCCTGGGCCAGCATTGGCCTTCCCTGGCATTCAATGTGACCCAACTCATAGGCCAAACTTAAACTAGGAAATGTAGAAGCACCCTTGAGGGAAATTATTGAAATCTCTACTCCTAAAAGTAAATGGACACTCTCTTAGTGGGAGAGGCAGCAAGTGGGTCCCCATCCAGCCCTATAACTACTGATC